TGGCATTAGAATCTATATCTCTAAAGCCAACTATATGGTTAAGGTATGTAGATGACACCTTCATACTCTGGCCACACCAGAAAAATGTTCAGGTTCTACTGGACCATGTGAACTCAATAAGACCTTCGATACAGTTCACAATGGAGAAAGAGAGTAACAACACACTCCCATTCCTGGATATTCTAATATCTCGAACAGAGCATGGGTTCAAGACATCCGTATACCGTAAACCGACATTCATCGGACAATACCTCAATTTCAACTCCCACCATCCATACAGCGTAAAGAAAGGGATCGTCCGCTGCTTACAACACCAAGCAAAAGTCATAAGTGGCAACCCAGAGACATTAGATAAAGAATTGGTCAGTATAAGTAGTACCCTACAATATAACTACTACCCTGAGTACATGGCAGCAGCCCTAAAAAAACTGGGATAGGTGGGTACAAGAGGAGGAGGACAACAACACTCAGAAAACAGTCTGCCTGCCTTATGTGAAGGGATTATCAGAGAAAATACAAAGGATCTGCGGTCCATATAACATCAGGACAACCTTCAAAAGCTTGACGACACTTCGCAGATATCTCTCCCGAGTAAGACCCCCCCATAGAGGAGAACATGACTAAAAGACTGTGTGTACGCTATCCCGTGCAGCTGCGGAAAGGAATATAAAGGAGAGACAGGCCGCCCCCCTCAAGGTAAGGCTTCAAGAACACCAGAAAGCTGTAACACGAGGGGAAGTGGAAAAATCAGGCGTGGCTGACCACATATGGAGAGAAGGGAGATCACCGCCCTCTGTGGGATCAGGTTGAGATCATAGGCAAGGAACACCATTGGAAAATTCGTAAACTTAAGGAATCAGCACATATTCTAGGCCACAAAAATCTCCTGAGCCGACCAAGTATAGAAATGAATACAATATGGGAACCAGTAATAAGGAGTGTCAGAGAAAAGCGATAATAACAAGAAAGTTGCAATATGAGCTCTGGTATAAACATGCAATGATAACAGCAAAATTGCAGTATGACCACTGGTAAAATGGTTGCTGAAGACATTAGGTTTATAATACCCAGAAATTCATACTAAAGGACACATGGCACAGTGGATAAAGGGGTTGGTTATATCCAATGACAGGACCCAAAGAGTGTGAGTTCAATACCTGGTTAAGGCAGTAGAGAATTTTCAGAGGGAAAAAAAAGGATAAATTTTGACATCCATCAAAACATACGTGGAACTAGAACAGTCTACCCCAGTGACGAAATAAAGGGTTCAGTTCGACATTCCAACCACCTGAAGAAGGCCGGAGCGTACAACGGCCGAAACTAAAAAAGCTGGCCTCAAAATGAGGACAATAGTCTAAAATGTTTTTTTTAATGGATAAATATGTTGATATTTCGAAAATATAATCGATATATATATATATATATATATATATATATATATATATATATATATATATATATAAATAAATATATATATATATACAATAAATTATATTATAAAGAATTAACTTTAGGAATTTGAAATAGACAATATATAACTTATAAAAAATGTTTCGAAAAAACTATTTCAATTTTTAATTTTTTGAGACCCCATTCTCTATTTGCCAATTTTAAAGAATAATTTTTTTTCCTGACAATGGCTGCCAGCACGTCTCAGGCAGCCAGTCGAGCTTATGTTTAAGTTGTTGATATGAAACGCCCTCGATACAGAAGCTGGGTACTTGTAAGAAAAATAAAGGAAGCGTAATTTTTATAAGAATAGATAGATTGTTAGGCGTAGTCAAATCTGATCTTTTCAAGTGAAATTTCTCTTGTCAATGATCTCTCATCATTTTTCAAATTTAATATTTTTTTCGTTTATAAATATATATATATTTGAAATCAAAACTTTGAGGAAAATTACCCCGAGAGATACAAGTTCGATTCCTAAATTTTTGCACTTTTCTTCTTCCTTTTCACTTTAATCAGATTTCTCTTCAGGCCATTAGATGAATATAAATAAATACACTGTTTAACATATAAACGAAGCGCCTGTTCAAATACGAGTATTCAACGTTTAAAGTCATACAAATCTGTCGGATTCATAAATTCATTCTAAAAAATAATGGAATCAACATTTGTATAATAAAAATAAATGAAGCAACTTTTTTTAATAATAAATAAAGGAAGCAAGTTTTATAATAAAAAATAAAGGAAGCAACTTTTATAATAAAAAATAAAGGATGCAACTTTTATAATAAAAAATAATGGAATCAACATTTGTATAATAAAAATAAATGAATCAACTTTTTTAATAGCAAATAAAGGAAGCAAGTTTTATAATAAAAAATAAAGGAAGCAACTTTTATAATAAAAAATAAAGGAAGCAACTTTTATAACAGCAAATAAAGGAAGCAACTTTTATAATAGCAAATAAAAGAACTTTATAATATCAAATAAATGAAGCAACTTTTTAAATAGCAAATAAAGGAAGCAACTTTTATAATATCAAATAAAAAATTCATTTTTTGGCGGTTTTAAAATAAAAAATAAAGGAAGCAACTTTTATAATAAAAAATAAAGAAATCAACTTTTATAAAATAATAAAGGAAGCAACTTTTGTAATATCAAATAAAGAAAGCTACCTTTATAATAAAAATAAAGATGCAACTTTTTAATAGCAAATAAAAGAAGCAACTTTTACCATGAAAAATATAGGAAGCAACTTTTATAATAAAAAAATTAAAAGAAGCAACTATTTTTTAAGAAAAACAAAGGAAATCATAATTCGTCTCAATTCGCCTTTCCATCGTGTAACTAGCGGCCATCTTAAATATTTATTTAAACAGGACATGAACGTGATCTCTATATTTCATGTTCAGCAGAGCGAAACCAATGTACCTATTTCGATCAATACACGAATACAAGAGTCAAAATTAAGTGAAAAGTGTTCGTAAAAACATTCGTAACAATAACAACACATTAGTCCGAATGTAAGTAATAATAAATCCTTATCTCATTATTCGACATTATTTCAGAAATTCAACTTATCATCTTTTATTCATTTCTTATGATAAATACCTTTTCTTTTTTTTTTTTTAAAGAGACACGTTTCTTTTCAGATGTATATGGCATTTAGTAATAGAGTCAGAGGATGGGTTTTGATGTCTATCTTCCGGGTCACATAGATGAATTTTGGCCTACTATATAATCAAGGGAGAATTGAGAGCTAGCATTAACAAATAACAAAAATTTCAAATGAATTTTGACCCAGATCCGATCAAGTAGATGGAAGATGACCCATTTCAATTGCCGTTTGTCTGGCTGTGAGATGGGATGAAGGTAGATGTTCTTTTTTCTCAATTCTTTTTCATTCTAACCGATCACAAGGTATAAATTCACTTACTTGTAAAATCCACACCTTTTTCTCTTTTACACTGTGTATTGAAAAGAAATGATTCTGACGCTAACAAAACTGTTTTAATTTTCTTTCTCTTTATATCATGTCAATTTAAAGCGAGTATGATCTTGTTCTCCACAGTTTTTCTTACTTTTCATGATCCCAGCAGCAGCATTACTCGATCGTCTTTGACTTTGTATCAGTTATTTCTCCGTCCAACCTTACTAGTTTACTGTTTCTTTATTTGGTTCTATTTTTTTAATGCTTTCAACGGCCCAAAAATTTGCCTAAAAACATGGCTCGTTTCTCTGCCTTCAACGTGACCCGTTTTCTTGCCTTCAATGTGGCCTGTTTTCTTGCCTTTTTTAAATGAAAAAATGTCCTTCAACATTTATCGTTTTTTGCCTTCAATTAAATTGTATATCTGTTTCAACGAAAATTATTTTTTTGCCTTCAACGTGGCCTTTTCTTCATTTTAAACGTAGCCCGTTTTTTATAGAAAGCGTTAAAAATTTCTCGCCAAGTTTAAAAGTGGTCGGTTTGTTGCCTTAAACGTGACATTTTTTCAATTTGCCTTCAATGAAAAAAAATTCTTGCCCTCAAAGTGAAATTTTTTTTTCCATTCAATATACATAAAAATATTTTTCCCTGTTTAAAAAAGGAAAAAGCCTCAAAAAAAGAGTTTAAATTGAAATTTATTTCAACGTGGCAATAAATTTATTTGTTAAGTTTTTTTACACTTTCTTTCCACATTATATCTACCAAATATATTCAACTATTTAATCTACGAACAAAGCTTAATAATGCCTTTACTGTTCTTTTTTAAATTACTTACCAAATACGTAATTATTTTCCATTGAGTGCATTTAGACAAAAGTTCAATTGTAGAGTTACCAATTTGTGCTGTTATGGTTCTTAAGGCTTCCTACCTTAATTTAATATTAGTATATTTTCTTTTTTAAAACCCTTTTATATTCCAATTGCTATTTGTTCCGCCATATAGTCGTCCAAAATTTGTTTAAGTAAAGGGACCATTTTTTTTCCTGTTGAATTTTCTTGTCTTCAGTGTGGCCTGCGAGTGTTAAATTTTCCAAGCCTTGTTTCTTCATTATATGTTTTTTAAGCTTTTCACCCCAAGCAAGGTGGGAGTGCCACTAGTACGCAAGGGGCTACAGAGATTGGGAGCAAGAGTAAAGAGGCGTGATAGAGGAAAGGATGAAGAGAAGGGCGGGGAATTAAATTAAGGCATCTGGAGATGTCGATTGATATTGCATTTGAATAGTTGAAGATTATAGCTATCAGGGAAGCAAGTAAGAGGAAGGGAATTTCACAGACGGGAAGTGCGAGACATGAAGCTATTGGAGTAGAAGAGAGGGTTACATTTGACCGTTTCGACAGTGAAAGGGTGGGACTGAGATGCCAACCTAGTAGCACGCTTAAATTCATGCAGTCTGGGAACTAGCGAAAGTAGCTCGTCGAAGCAGTTACTGTGACAGAATTTGTAGAAAAGACAGAGGGAAGCGACGGCACGTCTCTGTGCCAAATATACGCAGCTATTTAATCTATGAAGCTGGTTTAACACTACCTCCATTTTTTTCTTCTTTTTCTTTCTTTTTTTAAGGTTCTTAACAGATGCGGGATCATTTTGCACGTGTGTATTATATTGAACTGAAAGAGAGTTACCGATGTTATTTCATCGACTGTGTCACTCTGACATCGCAACCAGAGGGGGCCCTCCATTCCTTTTCTTCTTGGTTTGCGGCATTGTCATTTATCGAACCGACCGCGTCTGCGGAAACAGGATCTGCACTTTCAACATCTGCACATTTCAACACGACTTGTGCATGAATGGGGGTACTTGCAGGCAGAACGAACAGTGTCTACCCGAATGCGACTGCACCCCCGATTTTACAGGGAAACAATGCCAGGTTCTAAGGAACAGAGACTTCTCGTGTAACAGCACGTGCTCGCCTCAGACCTGCAATCGTAACGGAATCTGCTCCCAAGATCCAGCCACATGCAACATCAGCTGCGATTGTTTTGGCGGAAACTTCAAAAGGTGATTTTTTGCGACGTCAAAATAAAACAAACCAGACCGACAATTGCTTCCCCTGATCTAAGAACGGCCATTGTAAAAGTTTAAATGCGGAGAAAGTCATGTGTAAGTGCGATGACGAGTGGACTGGTGACACGTGTAACATCCCTTGCAAAAAGAACTGTACTCAGGGAAAATGTGTCATTTTCCTCGGAAACGAGACGTGCCAGTGTCCGAATGGCTTCACTTCAGAATCCAACTGTACGGAAAAAAAGCCGAAAAGCGAAGTCGGTAAGTATTAAGAATGTTTATACGTGTGATTTCAAGGCGTGGACAGAATAACTACTGTCGAAGTTGAAAATGAATTCAGCATGTCGAGTTCAATTTCCGCCCGGTTCTATTTCGCTGACTTCCCGCAAATCTCCTTGGAAAAGCATGCATTCATCTCCCGCCAGCTTCTTCATTCTTTTATATGCCGTGTTTTTTCAGTGTGTTGACGATCATGGCTCTCCATAACTTCCTGTCCCTTCTGTCTCTTAATAAGTTTTGTATTTTTCTTATTTCCCCCCCCCCTAAACGTTCTCTGCCGTCCATCAAGTATAGTACGCTCTGCTTTCCTCTGTCCCTCTTTCTGTCTGGTGGGTATCAGATTTTCCAAGCCCTCCTTCCTCATTACGTACCCCAGAAATTTCAACTGCCTCTTCCTGATGTTAAGTGTAAGTTTCCTTTTTGTTTTCATTTTCTCTAAAATCTCAGATACACGGTATCCTCAGCATCTTTCTGTAGAACCACGTTTCTGTTACTTCGCGTCTCTTCTTCATCTTTGAGGAAGATTGTCTAGCATTTACTGCCCCACCAGAGGACAGATATCACGTAAGAGTTTAATACTCTTTTCTTTGATTCCTCCAGCTAATAGGTTAAAATTTAGTCAGACTGGGCTCTCTTGAGTTGGCAACCAATCTGAGAGAAGGAAAACTCTGAATTGAAAACTAGCCTGAAACAGGATGAGCTTCATCTAGCTATCTTTCGCTAGACACACCACTAATACCATTGCCGCAGTACATATGGTGCTTTAGTAAGCTATTAGTGAACAGTGGCTTTCATTCAAACTGCAACTATTTCTTGTATATGAATAATGTTCGATAGTTTTCTTTGAAAAAAAATGACTAAGATGAAACACCCAAGTAAAATATGTAAGATGGAAATATGAAAAGGAGAGCAAATTGAGCTTACACGCTTTAGTTTGCAATCAGTCTAGGTGATGTAAAACTCTAAAACCAGCCTGAAGATGGATGCGTTCCGTCAGGCTTTCTAGTTTAGGTTTGACCATTAACTTTCCTCTCAATCCTCATAAAATGCGCCTCTTAACTTTTACTCTTATCAACTATAACAATCTCCTACAGTAGTCATCTACTATGAGTGGTTCTTCGTCATTTCATATTGTGAACATTAAAAAAAAATACCAATCTAGCTATGATTGCAGTACATATGGCGTATTTTATTTTTAAATACATATATTTTGTAAAACATATGGCGTATTTTATTTTTAAATGCATATATCTTGTCATACATATGGCGTATTTTATTTTTAGATACATATATTTTGTCATACATATGGCGTATTTTATTTTTAAATACAAATAATTTGTAATACATATGGCATATTTTATTTTTAAATACATATATGTTGTCATACATATGGCATATTTTATTTTTAAATATTATATATTTTGTAATACATATGGCGTATCTTATTTTTAAATACATATATCTTGTCATACATATGGCGTATTTTATTTTTAAATACATATAATTTGTCATACATATGGCATATTTTATTTTTAAATACATATAGTTTTTCATACATATTGCGTATTTTATTTTTAAATACAAATACTTTATAATACATATGGCGTATTTTATTTTTAAATACATATATGTTGTCATACATATTGCGTATTTTATTTTTAAATACATTTATTTTGTAATATTTATGGTGTATTTACGCTTCTCATGGGTTAATGGACTATACATACTTCATGTGTATTTAGTTGAGCCTTTTCAAGTGCATTTACTTGGTTCCAGTGATTGCATTAATCATATCCCCCAAGCAAGGCGGTAAAGCCACTAAGGCTCAGTGGGTTACTGAGTGTGAAAGAATAAGAAGAAAGAAACATTGTTAAGTAGCGAGAACATTAGAAGATTAATCGAGAAGACAGGAAGGAAAGCATGGGGCTAAAATATAGTTCCACAAGCGAGAAGTGCGAGGAAAGAAACTGTTAGAATAGAAATTACTGTTACATCTAGCCAATTCAACTCTGAATTGATGAGACCTTATTGCCAATCTAGTACTGCACTTAAATTCATAAAGTCTAGGGACCATGAAGAAGAGTTCACCCAAACAATTACCATGAAAGCATCAATAAAAAAAGACTCAGTGAGGCAAAATTATGACCGTGAGAAAGTGAGTGAAGCCGAGATGCCAGGACCATTAATATTGCTGATTCTTCTTTGGATTTTATGAAGAATTTCTTACATATGTAGCAGGGACACTGGACCATATGTGGCAGCAATATTTAAAGCATGGACGAATAATAGACTTAAGATAGAATCAGGAGAGACAAATTGTCTAGCAACTTTCTTAGCAGCAGACCAAGCAATGGATTCAATATAGTGTTTCCATTATATATCAGCCGAGAATATTAAACCGTGAAGGCTAAACAAGTCACTCACCTAAAAGTTAGCATCAGCCATGCTGATACAAAGTGGAATTTTGTTCCTCAGATGATTAAAAGAGAGCAGTTTAGTTTTAGTTGCTCCAAAGAAATAGTTTTAAGTCAAATACAAGACTCAAGGATACTCTCGATGGTCGCAGGATAGTTTAGAAAATATTGGGTTGGTGTATAATTATCAGGCGTTTTTGTTGGTGAGTTATTTGGTAATAAAAATTGCTGTTTCGTTTACTTTTTTTAATAAAAAATATTATTTTATTTTCTGGTTATAAGAATTTGTGTCGATAATCATACTCAATTAAAAATGTTATTGTTGATTTGTTAAGTTTCTTTTTTAATAATAAATATTGTTTAAAACACGCCTGATAATTATGCACCAACCCAATGCAAAATATTTGACATGTCTACATTAATTTCTGAAAATTTATCAAAAATTTATTGAACAAAAATAAATTACTGTAGTTTAAGAAAATAAGTATTGTCACATAAAAAAACATGATTTGTTATGATTAACAAATTTTTTTAACATGTTCAAACTGTTCCCCTTCATGTTCAAGCTTAACCCTATCAATATTTCTATCGGGTTGGTGCATAATTATCAGGCGTTTTTGTAAGCGACTTATTTGTTAATAAAAATTGCAGTTTTCTTTACTTATTTTAATAAAAATATTACTTTATTTTCAGGTTATAAAAATGCATGTAGATAATCATACTCATTTAAAAATGCTATTGTTGAATTTTTATGTTTCTTTTTTCATAATAAATATTGTTTAAAAACATATTGTTGAAAAACGCCTGATAATTATACACCAACACAATAAGTAAAATGAGACAAAAATAATGAAATCTGAAAAAAAAATTATGAATAATAAGGTATTGATAAATAGATGATGTCCATGAAGACCGTATTCAATTTAAAATACTTGTAGCTTTGTCAGTATACATGATTGAAACAATTTGTAAAAATGGATATGAAAGAAGTATTTAAATTTATGGGGATTATTGATTTTTTTTTTTTATTTATTTTTTTTTTTAACATTTCACCCCAAGCAAGGTGGGAAGCCACTAGGATGCAAGGGGTTACAGAACATTTAGAGCGAGATCATATAGGAGTGATAGAAGAAAGGATGAGGGTAGTGGATAGATCAAGGCAACTGAAGATGTCGATTGACATTACACTTGAATAGCTGGAGATTATAGCTCACAGGGAAGCAGGAATAGGGAAGGGAGTTCCGCAGGCGAGAGGTGCGAGACATGAAGCTATTAGAGTAGAAGAGACGGCTACATTTAGGAGTTTCGACAGTGAAGCGCTTGAACTCATGACGTCTGGGAACCAGTGAATGCAGCTCATTGGAGCAATTTCCATGAAAGTATTTGTAGAACAGACAGAGGGAGGCGACGACGCGTCTGTGAGAAAGTGATTGTAGACGAGATGCCAGACCAGGGCCAACTACATTGCATATCTGCCTCTGGAGCCTATCAAGAACCCCGAGACAAACAGAAGGGGCACCATGCAAGGGCGAATTGTTTCCAACATGTCCACTATCATTACCCATCCAAAGGATAATACGATTCTGTAGTTCTCGAAATAACATTTTGCCACTGATTTTCAATAATAGGATCAATAGCATCAATTATTCTAGATTACAATTCCTCTAAAGATCAAGATCCAGTTGAATAAACATTACTTTTTACATGACATCAGAACATGAAATCCACTGGAGTCAAACAGCAATTCTGAAAGAAATGAATCATTTTGAACTTCCAAGAAATTGAAAAGAAATCAATTTGAAGTTTCAAGAATCTGAAAAAAAAGAAGAAATATTGAATGTTCCAAGAAATTGAAAATAAAGTAATTTTGAAGTTCCAAGAAATTAAAAAAAAAGTCATTTTGAATTTTCCAGAAATTGAAAAATAAAAGATTTTGAAGTTAAAAGAAAATTTTAAAAAAATCAACTTGTAGTTTCAAGAAATTGAGAAAAAGTACTTTTGATGTTCCAAAAAACTGAAAAGAACAATTTGATGTTCAAAGAAATTGAAAAGAATGAATTTGAAGTTTTAAGAAATTGAAAAGTAATTTTGAAGTTCCAAGAAATTGAAAAAAAAACAGAAATTTTGATATTGAAAGAAATTCAAAAGCATGAATTTGAAGTTTTAGGAAATTGAAAAAAAAAAATTTCGAGTTACAAGAAATTGAAAAAATCCATTTGCAGAAGCAAGAAATTGAAAAAAAAAGTAATTTTGATGTTCGAAGAAATTGAACAGAAGGAATGTGAAGTTCCAAGAAATTGAGAAAAATTATTTTCATGTTCCAAGAAATTGAAAAAATTATTTTCATGTTCCAAGAAATTGAAAAAATTAATTTGATGTTTCAAGAAAGTGAAAAAAAAAATGAATTTTGGTATTTGAAGTTGAAAAAATGAATTTGAAATTTTTATAATTTATAAGTTGCAAGAAATAGAAAAAAAATGTTTTAAAGTTCCCAGAAATTGAAAAATAAGTAATTTTGAAGTTCTAAGAAATTGAAAAAATTTATTTTGAAGTAACAAAAAATTGAAA